CTGCTGCTGCTGCTGCTGCTGCTGCTGCAGATCCGGGCATGACCTAGGACACCGACCCAGCTGCTGCTGCAGCTGCAGCGAACCGTCTGAGGCCATCGACCGCAACTCAAGCGGCAGCAGCCGCAGCTGCAGCAGCGTTGTTGATGTTCGTTGCTGCTGCTGTTGCTGTTGCTGCTGCAGTTGCTGCTGCAGCTGCTGCTTTAGCTGTTGTTGCAGTTGCAGTTGTAGTTGCTGCTGCAGCTGCAATTGCAGCTGCTGCTGCAATTGCTGTTGCAGTTGTTGTTGGAGTTGTTGCTGCAGCAGCAGCTGTTGCTGCTGTTGCTGCTGCTGCAGCAGCAGCAGCTTCGCCGCCTTCTCCTTCTGCATAGATACTGCGTCAGGGGGGCCCCTAGCAACAGGTACCGCCTCAACAGAAACAACAGCACTCTGCGTGAGGGGCCCATTGTATCTTCTGGTGTCTCCTGAGGAGAAGAGGAGACTGGTGGGTTTCACGAAGCCCGCAGCACCCCCGCTGCTGCTGCTGCTGCTGCTGCTGCTGCTGCTGCTGCTGCTGCTGCTGTTGTTTGTGCTGCTGCTTGCATGCGCCGCAGGCAAAGGAGACAATACACACCGCGGCAGTGTCTCCCCCGAAGAGGGAAGGGGGCCCTCCTCAGCACCCCAAGGGACTGGAGACAGCCGCACGCCCCCTTTGCTTCTCTCTTCTGCTGCAGCAGAAGCAGCAGCAGACGCAGCAGCAGCAGCAGCAGCACACACCAACAAAGGACTCAGAACAGCAGGAGGAGACAAACACCTGCTCTCCCCTGGAGACAGAGGAGCACCAGCTAGCAACCCAGGGAGGGGGCCCCCGCCATTCTGCTGCTGCTGCGGGGCCCCCCGCGGGCGCGCCCTGGCCACTGCAGCAGCAGCAACTGCAGCAGCAGCAGCAGCTGCTGCTGCTGCTGCTCCGCCCTGCTCCTCCTGCTGCTGCGGCTCAGCAGCAACTGCTTCAGACGCTGCTGCTGCTGCTGCTGCTGCTGCTGCTGCAGTCTCCTCACGCCGCCGCTCCTCCGCTGTCTCTGCAGCTTCTCCTTCTGCTGCCTGTGGCGCTGCCGTGCTTGTGCTGCCATCACTTAAGCTGTTGCTGCTCGCTGTGTGGCTGCTGCTGCTGCTGCTGCTGCTGCTGCTGTTACTGTTGCTGCTGCTGTTGCTGCTGCTGCTGGTGTTGCTGCTACTGCGTCCCGTGCTGCTGTCGGTGTGCGGCGGCAGGGTGAGGGCCAGGGGCCCCTGCTCCCTCCCTCTTGCTGCGAGCAGCAGCCTGCTGTGGGGGCCCCCCGTTGCTGCTGCTTCTGCTGCTGCTTCGGGGGCCTTCAGGGGCCCCTCTGGCCGCATGAGAGAAGGCAGCGAAGACAGGTGCACCTGCAGCATCCCCTGCTTGATCCAGCGCGAGCTGCTGCAGCAGCTGCTGCTGCAGCTGTTGCTGCTGCAGCTGCTGCTGCAAGCGCTGCTGCTGCAGCAAACTCCCGATAGCCCCAGACGAACTCCCACTGCCTGAGCCGCTTGCGCTGCTGCTGCAGTACATGCCCTCTGCTGCTGCAGCTGCTGCTGCTGCTGCAGCTGCTGCTGCTGCAGCTGCTGCTGCCCCCTGCACCTGACGGGGGACTGCAGCTGAGATGAAAGACAAGAGGCCCCTTCGCTGTGCATGCAGTTCTCTGCTCCTGTGTTTGCGTTGGTTTTATTCGCTGGAGCAGCAGCAGCAGC